AAAGAACAAGATTAGGACCCGTGTTAATAACACATCTGTCAAGCACTTGATACCTCCAGAAGGGAGATCACTAAGCCAGGGAAAACAGAAACCAGACCTATTGTTCCAGTGTTTGTAGCAGTTTGATATATTCCCTTTCTTGTATTTATTACACATTGCCATGTGTTCGTATTATGCTCAAGGCTCTGCACAAGATTCAAGAGTGAAGATGCACTAGACAGAACAGCCCCTGCCCTCCTGATGCTTACAGTCGAATGGTGAGAGATGAAAACATGGAAACAAACCAAGTAACTAAGTTGTGATACTTGCTATGAAGAGAATACACACAGTGCTCAGATGAGAGATGATGATGACCAACATGTATAAGTGTAGGTAAAGAGAAGCAACAGCCCTTATGCAAAGTTTGGCTTTTAAAATGTGGGAAGCACCTCTTATCTCAAACAAGACTGGAAAGATGAGCTTCTTCTCCCTTAAGGATGAATAGCTTTGATTTTGGGTAATGCTTCCTACCTTATGTAAAGGATGAGGGAAATGGTTTTTAAAAATATTTTTCTAACTCCTCTAAAAAGCTAATGTTCCTTAAGCAACTATTTTTTTTTTATTATTAAAGTATCATTGATAGGCCATCTTTTGATGGTTTCACATACATACAGTGGTTCAACATTCACCCATATTATCAAGTCCTCACCCCGTTGCGGTCACTGTCTATCGCAAGACCGTTCAGTTAGTCTTCTCCCTACTGTACTGCCTTCCCCATGACATACCTATATTGTGATTTGAGAATTATAATGCCCCTTGATCCCCTTCTCCCTCCCCAACTCCTTCCCTTTGGTAACCACAAGTTCCTTCTCAGTGCGAGTCTACTGATTTTTTGTTCCCTCAGTTTTGCTGTTTTTATACTCTACCCAAGTGAAATCGTTTGGTGTTTGTCTTTCTCTGCCTGGCTTATTTCACTGAGCATACTATGCTCTAAATACATCCACACTGTTGCAAATGGTAGGATTTCTTCTCTTTTAATGGCTGAATATTCCACTGTTTATATGTACATCATCGTTATCCATTTACCTACTGATAACATTTAGATTGCTTCCATATCTTGGCTATTGTAAATAGTGCAGTGATAAAACAGGGTGCATTCATGATAAAAACTCAACAAACTGGGCATAGAGGGCAAGTACCTCAACATAATAAAGGCCATATATGATAAACCCACAGCTAAGATCATACTGAACAGCGGGAAGCGGAAAGCTTTTCCTCTGAGATCGGGAACAAGACAGGGATGCCCACTCTCCCCACTGTTATTCAACGTAGTACTGGAGGTCCTAGCCACGGCAATCAGACAAAACAAAGAAATATAAAGAATCCAGATTGGTAAAGAAGAAGTTAAACTGTTGCTCTTTGCAGATGACATGATAGTGTACATAAAAAACCCTAAAGATTCCACCCCAAAACTACTAGAACTGATATTGGAATACAGCAAAGTTGCAGGATACAAAATTAATACACAGAAATCTAAGGATTTCCTATATAGAAAGAGAAATCAGGAAAACAATTCCATTCACAATAGCATCAAAAAGAATAAAATACCGAGGAATAAACCTAACCAAGGAAGTGAAAGACCTATACCCTGAAAACTACAAGACACTCTTAAGAGAAATTAAAGAGGTCACTAAAGAATGGAAACTCATCCCAGCCTCTTGGCTAGGAAGAATTAATATAGTCAAAATGGCCATCCTGCCCAAAGCAATATACAGATTTGATGCAATCCCTATCAAATTACCAACAGCAATCTTCAATGAACTGGAACAAATAGTTCAAAAATTCATATGGAACCACCAAAGACCCCGAATAGACACAGCAATCCTGAGAAGGAAGAATAAAGTGGGGGGGGATCTCACTCCCCAACTTCAAGCTCTACTACAAAGCCACAGTAATCAAGACAATTTGGTACTGGCACAAGAACAGAGCCACAGACCAGTGGAACAGACTAGAGACTCCAGACATTAACTCAAACATATATGGCCAATTAATATATGATAAAGGAGCCATGAACATACAATGGGGAAATGAGTCCCATCAACAGATGGTGCTGGCAAAACTGGACAGCGACATGTAAGCGAAGAAACTGGATCACTGTCGAACCCCATACACAAGAGTAAATGGGAAAACTTTTATGGTGGTCAAATCCTGTTACCCAACCGTCCAGATGGTTAGAAAAAACTGCTTAGCATTCTTATGCTCAAACTCTCCAGGAGCATTAAACACTATTTTCATGTTCTAAAAACTAATAAAAACCCTACAGTTTCTGTTTGATTCAAAGCTCCCCTCCTGTCCTTCCATTCAGGTGAAAGTTAGCTGAGGTTCTCAGGACCAGTTTGAGCTGGCAGAAAATGCTTAATGGCGGGAACTCAGAATCTGGGATGGTCCCAGCACTGTAACCATTTAGCGCATTGCAGAGAAGGGCCTGAGGATTTGGGGACTAGCTGGGCCCATGACCCACTTCTCAGAACCAACCTTGGAGTAGCTGTGAGGCTGTTATATGAAACAACTAAAATAAAGCTCCTTGTGAGTTGCCTTAAAAATCACCTGATCAATCACAGAACCCAAGAAAGGACTAACAGTTACCAAAGGGAAAGAGACTGGGGAGGATGGGTGGGAAGGGAGGGATGAGGGGGTGAGGGGAAAGAAAGGGGGCCAAACGATTAGCATGTATAATGTGGGTGGGGGGGCACAGGGAGGGCTGCGCAACCCAGAGTAGACAAGTAGTGATTCACAGCATCTCACTACGCTGATGGACAGTGACTGTGAAAGGGGTATGTGGGGGGTACTTGGTGATGGGGGGACCCTAGTAAACATAATCCTCATGTAATTGTAGATTAGTGATACCAAAATAAATAATAAAAATAAAAATAAAATAATCTGATCACGGAGGATATTATTTGTGAGAACCTGAATACTAACTTTTGAGGCTGAACCTAGGAATTTTTTCTCTTATTTCATTTTTAAGCCACATCAATACATTTTATGGTTCTGGTTTTAGTGACGTACTCTCATCCCTGTGACAAGACTACAGAAATGCCTCTTCCAAACTCCACATGCACCACGAATTTCAAGCATAAGCAGTTCAGACATGGTGCTGCTGGTTACTGGCCAACTAGGACCTTCCCACTGGGGGCCCTTCACTCCCCAGCTGGAGTGTCCTGCCCATTTTCCTGCCCGAGTTTCTCCCCAGCTGTCCTCCGCTAGTACAGGAGCAGCCAACCACACCAATCAAAGCACACTTGCTTCTTGCCCACGTTCCACGTTTTTGAGGCACAACTCATCTGGACTCTACCGCACTCACAGGAGGAATTCAGGACAACTCCGACGTCTCCCTCATCCACCATCAAAAGAAATAAATGCATCTTGTGCACATGGGGCAGTGGAGCTCCAGGGAACAAAGTAGGTGGAGCGGGGTGAGAGGAGGGCGAGACCACGCGAACCAGACTTCTCCATGATGTGTCCGGGTAACCAGTCCGTCTGAGTTTCCTGTCACCTACAGCCTTCTGAGCTCCTGAGTGCTCCCGTCAGTGTCACATTTGCTCAGTGGAGCATCTAGAGGAATCCAGATCTCTTCTGAAGGCCAATGAAGTGGCGGGATGAAAAGGAAAGGTTCCCGAGCTGCAGCACAGCTCCCCCTTTTAGGACAGGCCGGTTATGCTGCAGAAGCACACAGCACCAACGGGTCACTGGTGAACGCAACGTAAGTCTAGTTCTCAGCCCCAGAATTCTGTGATAGGCCTGGGGGACTCTCCACAGCGGCGTTCCCCCATGTGGGGGTGCGGGGGCTCAGCGCTCCAGACCGCTTCCACCTTGCGGCTCTCCCTGCCTCAGGCACTTCCATGACTGAGGCAGGAGAAGACAGCAGTGCAGCCTTGTACCAACAAACAAATGCCGCAGCCCAGGAGGTAGGAGGGGAAGGAGAAAGAAATGTGCACTGAGGGCATCGACTATTGGCTAGGCCGTGGGGAGCTTTCCTTTCATCAATCCCCCTCATCTCCAGAACAACCCTGAGTTGAAGATTCTCTTTCACAGGGAAAGCAAAAACAAGAGTATTTCCGTAGCCAGTCCAGAAATAGGAAATGTTCTACAAGCTAGAAACAGACCCAAGGCAGTGTCATCCAGAGCGGCTCTGCAGGGTAGCGCACACCAGTCCTGCTGACCCTCCTCCAGGCCGGGCTCAGGAGGCTCACTGACGACCCACAGACCCACTAGCTATGCTGATAGCAACAAGCCCCCACATCTCTTTGAACCTTAGATTCCTGGTTTATAAAAAAACAGATCAGGAAGTGATAATGTAACCATTTCCCTGGTATCACTCAAGAGCTCTAACAGGAACATATGTGAGTCACCGCTGCAAGTAAAGGGTGAGGTATAAAAAACTGCACATCATTGGTATATAGGGGGCCTTCAGCTATATACTGGTTACCACCTAAGCCTGCTGTGAAACGCTGCTCTGGGGAAAACAGACAGGGAGACCCTGCCTGCTGAACAGCTTCCAGTGTCAGACAGACAACTTGTGTGCATTCACCTTGCCCACCACACAGAACCAGGTCCCAACCCTTTACTCTTGAGAACCAGGTCTCCTGCTGATTGGCATCCCAGTCACCGTGCGCACTGAACCACATCCTGGCGGCAGCACACACTCCAGTCCCAAACGTAACTCTTCCCTTGTTCTACTAAACAAATGCCAAATTAAAAAGCAAGCAAACAAAAACCTGGTAAGTTGATCCTGAACTCCCACTATTTCTTTTAAGCCTTGGGAAAATGCTGACTTATGGCTGTTTATATCCTACTTTGGGAGGTAAACAAACAGTCTGGTTTCTTTTACTACAAGTTCTTCTTTACATCTGATATGTTCCATGGCTAAAAATTCTAACCTGATTCCATATGATCTCATTGTACATGGTTTCCTTTTTCAAAAACCAACAAGAATGAGATAGTGATTAGGTTCCCTAGTGGTGAATTACATGTGATTTTTATCACAGTAAAAATTAGGCTAAAAAGACTTAAGAGCTAAAGTTGCAGGGACTCAAACAATGTCCCAATTTGTGAACTGTGTCCAACAACTAGAGAAAGGAAATCCAATTTGTTCCTTGGGAAACTTTCATTAGAATTCTTCTGCCCTGCAAGACTATGGAAATTGGCATGTCTGCTGCCTTGAAGATAATGGTATGCAACTGAACACATACACTGCTGCTTTTTGTTTTGGAAGGCCATGCCGCAAAGGTTCCCTCCCATGTGTTACAGGAGGCTGAGGAGAGCAGTACACCACCACCATTTCCTCTGTGACCACAGAAGATTGACAGATTCAAGGCTGCAACTGCTATCTGAAGCGGAATTTGCTATTTTGCCAGGTATAATCCCCAAACAGCCTTTTGTCATCTTAAGAATATTCTTAAAAAATTTCTTGGTTAATGAGTTCCCTTATGGTTATAAATAATCAGTAAGCAGTACAGTTACTAATGCATTCCTTCCACAGACATCCGTTCCTTTCTGTGAAACATGATGTTTATATCTTCACATTTTCCACTGAAGAAAAAATCACCCTGCTTTATGTTGCATTTTTCGTAAAATTTAGGGTCAAGCTGCATTTGGTGAATTTCTTCAGACTGAAGACACTGGAAAATCTTCCGTTCCCTGGAGGAGTTTCTGGTGCCTAAGAAGGCTTGCTGGCCTGCTGCAGTTGCCCCTGATGTGCTACAGGTGAGTTCGCCAGTGCTTAATAAGGTGGGCATTCTTACTGAATTTTTTTCCACAGTCACTACACGAAAAGGGCTTTTCTCCAGTGTGAATTCTTTGGTGTGTGCGGAGATTTGAATTCTGGTTGAAGCTTTTCCCACACCATGAGCACTTATATGGTTTTATTCCTTGGTGTATCCTTAAGTGCTTGTTAAGATCTGACCTATAGGTAAAACTCTTACCACACTGTGGACATGTATGTGGTTTCTCATCACTGTGAATTCTTTGATGCTTGCTAAGCAAAGAGCTGATTCGGAAGCTTTTCCCACATTCCTGGCATGGAAAAGGCTTCTCTACTGAACGAGCTTTGTTGTGAAGCTCTATAAGTCTCAGCAGCTCTTTTTCCCAGGATGGAAGTCCATTAGTTTGCTTCACTGGAAAATCTTGGTGACATGTCTCTGCCCTGTGTACATCACCATGATTTTCTTTGTCCACTGTGTTTTGGGAAATGTACACTCTCGCCTTTTTCGATACTATGTCTCTCGGTGCTTCTATTTCTGAGTCAGAAAGACATATGGGCTGATCATTTTCAGCATCATTTTTTAGTTTTAGCCCTGTTGGAATAAACAAGAATCAGCCAACTCTAGGCAGAGGAAGACTACTATAAAAATGGAGACAAAAAATCCAATGATCACTCATTTTACAAACAGATGAGTACAATCTAAAACCAGTAAGCCCTTGCAAATATCCCTATCAAGGCATCGCATGGTGTATTTACCTATAGGCAGCTTTCTAGAGGTGTCCTTCAACTCCAGGGACCCTTGAACCCATGGCTCTTCCCCTTGCTTTAGACAGGAGATCACTTTAGGTTTCAGGAGCACAAATAATGCTGTGAATGGAAAAACTGAGGTCAGGGACTGGTAACTTTATTAGCAATGGTCACCTATTCCAGCCTATTTCAGGAAAACCAAAGGACATATTCACAGTATATAACCCCAAATGGTTAAATGGATAGACTCCAGTATCTGGTATCGGGTATGTATTACAATGCGTTTGTGGGTAGGTACGCAATACGGAGACTGAGATAAATCTAAGATAGATCTATGGAAAGGATGCACGGCATGGAGATCCAGTGCATGTCACCTCCCTTCTGCCAACAAGAACTCCCCACGAAGGTGGAATCAAGCTCCAAGAATGCAGGGTATACAGGATGGTGCTGTTAATGCTTTAGGAAGACGCACCCAGATCGGACCACCTCTACCAGAGACAATGGGAAGGCTGCTGAGCTGGGGCTCATGTGTACAAGTGATCCCTGTCATGACTACAGTAAGTTATTTAGCTCTCAAACACCAACACTAGAC